GGGCGTAATCTGGGCCGTCCCCAGAGCCAGGGCCACCCAGAGCAGGGCGTCCTCCAGCAGCCAGAGACTGAAAGAGGGCCCATGGGTTTCTCTGTGCCGTCCTCCCCCCACCCGGCAGCAGCAGCTGGAAAGGCTGAGCCGATGAGGGTCCTTCTTGTGGCCGCTGCGGGGAGTCACCTGGGGAAAGGGGCTGGAAGCCTCCCGGGGTCCCTGAGGTGCTCACCTCCCCTGTTGCCCCCCATGAATGAGAGGGAGTCGTCGGCGGATCCTGCTTCCTCATCCCAGGTGCTCCTCCGGTCTCTCTGCAGAGAGAAAATGGGCCAGTCCCTCATCCTAAGCCCGGGAGAGGCGGCATTTAGGGCTGGGGCCCAGGGCCCCCTCAAGGGAATCACGTACCTGCAGGCTGAGTTCCGGCTGGGCGGGGACACACTCGCCTGAGGAGAGAGAGACCGGTCAGGGGGGCATTGCGCCCGGGGCCAAATCCTGCCTCCCCAGCAGGTGACACTTTGACGGAAGGAGGGGACAGAAGAGCCGCTGGGCTTTATCTCTTAAAACCAACTTTCTGGCAACCTCCTTTCAATACATTCAAACTATTTCTGCTTCTTATCTGGGAGGGTCCCATGGTCTCCCGGGACGGTCTCTGGCTGCTGCCTTGTACCTCTGCATCATTCAGAGCTGCGGCAGTCAGCCTCTGCTCCGTGTGGCGGTGATCTGACCCATTTTTCACCACGATCCCCTTGGTGGCTTTTGGGATGTTTACGGAATGCAATCAGCACCAAAAGATGGTGGCATGAGAGGGGGAGTCACTCGGTCTCTCTTCTCCATTCCCCCCCCCGCCTGCATCTCCTGGCCTGAAGAGACCCCTCCCCTCCTCCCGTTAGCTCCTGGTTTGCCTGCTTCCGTCAGTCTGAAAAAGGCGTCTTCGGAAATTCCCAAGGTCAGAGAGAACTGTCTGAACTCCTCTATCAGATCCTCACGCAGGTCGGGTCTCCTTCCTAAAAAGGGCAAGAAGGGAGGAGACTTGGCATGCCCAGCTCCTGCGACCGCCTTCTTGAGATACAGCAGATACCGCGGCTGAATTCATCTACTCAGTTACTACAGCTTTGCGGAATGGAGCCTCCCTCCTCAACAGCAGACTACCTCTGAATCTCAGGGGCAGCGGACGCATGATGGGGAGGGCCAGTGGTTGGCATCGCTGCGTGGAGGGCTCTAACCAGCCCCTGCGGGAAGCAGCAACGCCTCGTTTCCCCCCAGAGCAGAAGCCGAGGGCCGCCCAGCAGGATCTGGGATGGTCGTTCCAGCGAAGGCTGACCTGGCCGTTCACCGGCGGCCTGGAAACTTGTCCCTGAGCTTACAGCAGGCTCTCCCTGGCTCTGGTCCCAATGGTCCTGGAGGGCAAACCCTCCGCCCCCCTCCGCCCCCGGCCTGCTTGAAAAGCAAGGTAAACAAGGCGGTGGCAGAGAGGGGGCCTTCCTTTGCTTTCGGCCCTTAAGCCCCCTCAACTCCCCTGCCGCTCCCAGGGGTGCTCCTGTGCTGGGGACCCCTTCCCCTCTGGGCCGGACGGTGCCGGCTGGGGGCAGGAGAGGTGGCTCTTTCTGGAGGCAGATGAGACCCCAGGGGGGCTTCTCTCCCAGATCCGGAGGGGCCGTGAGGGCAACCTCCTGGCGCCACGTCGGCGGCGTTTCCAGCCCTCTCCGGCTCAGAAAGTGGAGAGCCCGTGCCTTCCGTCCCCGGATCCGGAATTGCACCCACATCTCTGGACTGGCCTCTGCCCCGTAGCAGCCCCGTACCGTAAAGTTGGGTCGTGATGGTGTGTCCGTTGTTCCTGTTCTTCGTCCATGTGAGGAAGGCATATTCATCGTAGTTGGTGCGAGTCACGTACCCCTCAATCTGTGTCTCCCATCCTGGGGGGGAGGCAGAATGATTTCCCCCCCACTCTGATGCCCCAGCAGCTTCCACCCCGGTTCTACCGCATCCCTCCTCAGGGCCGATCCGACTTCTAGAGGGCATCACGGAGAACAGGAATTCGGCGTTCAACTTTTATCTCTATTTAAACACGCACTCCAAAGCGCTGAGAGAGCCAGCGTGGTGCTGGGTTAGGTTCAGAGAGACCCAGGGCCGGCCAGCACAGCCCCCCCCAGCCACCAAAGCTCTCTGGGGGATGTGGGGCCGGGCCCTCTCCCACAGCCTAACCTACTTCACAGGGTGGTTGCGGTGGGGAAAAATAAGGGGAAGGAGGGCCGCGTATGGCACCGGGAGCTGCTGGACGGAAGAGTCCGCTCCCCAATCTTCCCGTGGCCCGAGAGAGGAAATGCATCCCCAGAAGCCACCCCGCGGGGCGGCGGAGCACCAAGAGGAGTCTCTGCAAGGGTTTCCAAACCTACTGGAATCGTGGTACTGGTATTTCCCTGGGGTGCTGGTCTTCTGGTAAACTCCAGCCACCTGGCTGCACGTGCCTTGCCTGCGCGAGAGGGAGGGAGAGAAAGTGGCTGGCTGCAAACGGGGCCGCTGCTTCAGCCTCGGAAAGCCAGCGGAAGGAAGGCACGTCGGGAGGGGAAGGTGCGTGGCTGTGCGGACCCTGCTGCTGTTCCCGCCTCTCTTGTGGCTTGGAAGACACCCTTCGCCCCCCCCCCCGAGTCAAAAATAATTTGAATGGTGGATAAATTGCCCCTCAGAGTAATAGGAAACTTTCTGAAATGAAGAAGATGCCAGGAACCAGTTAACCACGGTCTGATTACGTGAGAAGGCACGGTGGGGTTAACGTCTGGCTGTTTTTCCAGGAATATTTTTGTAGCTGCTCATCTGTCCTTCCTTTTCTGGGCATCAGAGTCTTCCCAGGGGGGCAACGGAGGGGCCCAGGTACCCCTCTGTTG